GACCGCAGGAGGAGTTTTTGTGTTCGCCGGAAGCTTAGGGTGGTGGCCTTGAAGTGAGTCATCAGCTGGGCATGAGGCGATCCTCGTGGCCGGAGCAGTGCCCCGAGGCGGCGTTACTCCCAAAGGGTCTGAGGGGGCAAGCACACGGCTAGACTGAAAGTTAGGCTTGGCAACCGCACAACTCGGCTCGTTGGACACATCACGCTCTCGGTCCTTGCGTGTAGTGGGAGTATCAAGGAAAGGTAGAATAGATTTTAGGCGCGACGGGTGCACAAACCAGCAGCGTTTACCATGGTGGACTTTTACACATTGGGGCCGGATGACCTTTACGACATCGACAGGCCCCCTCCAAGGTTTTAAAGGTTTGGGTGACGTGGACAGGGGTACATGAGGACAGTGAAGCCACGCCCTGTCACCCTCGGACCATGTATGCGAGGAAACTTTGAGACTTTGTAGGCGCTCATTGGCCAATTGGCGGGCCTCCGAATTATGCTTAGCCACCTCCCTTGCTTCCACCAACTTGCGGACATTTGACCGAATGTGCTGGGAAAGATTGGATTTAGGGAACCCCTGAGCGACGCGTAATTGAACATCTACCGGGGAGTTGGACTCCCTGCCATACATCAAATAGAATGGGGAAAACCCCGTGGCCGCATGAGGAGCCAACAGATAGGCGGCCAGAACCCCGTGAGTCGGATACTTGGTGGCTCAGCATGGCGGTGAGAGTCTTGTTAAACCGCTCCACAATGCCATCCGTTTGAGGGTGATAAGGGGAGGTGTGAACCTTGTGTGTGCCCAACAAGTCGCAGACCGCTCGCAGCAGGTTGGACTTAAAATGATTTCCCTGAGTGGTCAGCAGCCGCTCAGGAGCACCCTTATCCAGGGCATAGTCCTGGAGAAAGGCCTCCGTGACGGTTGCTGCCGATTGGTTGGGGAGTGGCCAAGCCATAGGCCAGCGGGTGAAATATTCAACCCCAACCAGAAGGTACTTGTTACCCCTAGGAGTGACAAGGAAAGGCACGACCAGTATGTTCACTCGGGATACCTGAATAGGTTGCAAAGGAGTTCACGACAGATTAGAGGCAGGCTTTCGTCGAGCACACTGGGGACATTCCTGAAGCAAGGTAGCAACGTCCCCCGACATACTCGGCCAGAAAAAGTCCACACTGAGCGTCGCAAGGGTTTTCTGAACCCCGAGGTGCAACAAACGCTCATGTGTGGCCCACACGACCCTTCCTCGCAGGGATGTAGGCACAACCAGCTTGTACCTCAGATCTCTGCCATCCCAACGCATCAGTAGGCCATCCCTGAGGACAAGGGAGATGGGACTCCCAGTGGCATCCCGCCTGTAGCCCTCAGAGGCCCGACGGCGCATTGTAAGGAGGCAACTGTCCTCCAGCTGGAGGCGGCCCCACTCGGCGGAGCTGAGACCCAGATGGGCATCGGTGGCAGAGCCAGCAAGGGGGTCCGGAGGAGAATCAACTGACCCTTTGGCCGCCCCCGCAAAGGAGGAAGACGCATCAACGAGGGCTCGTTAACAGCGGCCCGACCCCGTGAAACAGGCGCATCGGTCCGGACCATACATACGCGACAGTGCATTAGCGTTGCCATGGCGAACGCCCTTCCGGTAAACGACCGTGAAGGAATAGTCCTGTAGGACCTCCAACCATCGGGAAAGCTGGCCTGATGGCTGATCAACTTTAAGGGCGTATTGTAGGGCAGCATGATCGGAGCGCACGGTAAACTCTCTCCCGTACAGGTAAGGCCGGTATTGTTGAATAAAAAATACAATAGCCAGCAGCTCTCGGCGGGTAACGCAATAGCGTTGTTCGGCAGGCGACAGAACCCGACTGCCATAGGTGATGCCGTCGACGATCTGGGACAACACCTCCCCAATGCCTGTATTGCTGGCGTCCGTATCCAGCAGGAAGGACGCCGAGAATCAGGGTAACTCAGGGGAGGGGCATTAACCAGACCATCTTGAAGAGCTTCGAACGCAGCCTGTTCAGCCGGCCCCCACTGGAATTTCGCTCCCTTAGCCGTAAGTGCGTGGAGTGGTTTGGCGATCGTAGCAAAGCCCACACTGTATAACAAAACCCTATGTCTCCTGACTTTGGGCCACCCTTTTTAACAAAAAACGTGTGTGTTCTGATTTTTTGGCAACCTTGTATAATAACCCTATGTTTCCTAATTGTTGGGCCACACTGTATAATGGTAATAACCCTATGTGTCTCGACTTCTGGTCTACCCTGTACAAGAATAACCCTCTGTGACTTCACTTTTGGACCACCCTGTATATTAACCCTGTGTCCTTACTTTTGGATACACTCTATAATGCTATGTGTCCTTAATTTTGGGCCACACTTCATAATAACTCTATGTGTCCTGACTTTTGAGCCATCCTATATAATATTACCTTATATACTCTTTGGTTCTATTCGGTAAAGTCATGTAGGTAAAAAATAAAACAAAAATCACGACCTTTCGGCCACAACACAAGTAGCCTTCATCAGGTGAAGGGACCAAACTGTCCAGCGGACAGCGTTGGAGTGAAGAAAGCCAAGCGCAGGTCACCTTTTTAAGCTGTGAGAGGGTAAACAGTAAACGCCTTTACAAAGGAAATTAGCATTAAAGTACTACTGACAAAGCTTGGAATTAGCATAAGATGATAATACACCACCTTGGAAGTTTGGAATGCCATTACTTGAATAAATATACTGTGCCATTGAAAATGAGTTTAATGTTTGGTTCGATTTATAACATCTTTCCAATGGTTGCTTAATACCTTATGTGCCATTATGTTTTGACCAACCAGTATCGTAATAACGTTATGTGTCCTGAATTTTGGGCCACCCTGTATAATAATCACGTGTGTATTGACTTCTGGGCCATGCTGTATAATAATAACAACCCTATGTGTCTTTGACTTCTGGGCAACCCTGTAAAATAATTACCCTCTGTCTCCTGACTTTTGGACATCCCAGAAAAAAACCCGTGTGTACTGACCTTTGGGCCACCCTGTATAATGAAAATGTCTGACTTTTGGGCAACACTGTATAATAACCAAGTATGTCCTGACTTTTGGGCCACCCAGTAAAATAACCGTATGTGTCCTGACTTTTGGGCCCTGCTGTATAATAGCTATGTGTGCCTTGAGTTTTGCCACACCCTGAATAACAATAACCCTATGTCTTCTGACTTTTGGGCCACCCTATATTACAATAACCGTGTGTGTTCTAACTTTTTGGCAACCTTGTACAATAATAACCCTATGTCTCGTGACTTTTGCGCCACCATGGAAAACAATAACTTACGTGTCCCGACTTTTGGGCCACACTGTATAATGATAATAACCCTATGTGTCTTGACTCTTGGGCTACCCTGTAAAATAATAACCCTCTGTTTTCTGACTTCTGGGGCACTGTCTTTTATTAACCTATGGGTTCTGACTTTTTGGCCACATTGTATAACTCCCTTGTGTGTCCTAACTTTTGGGCCACCCTGTATTACAATAACCCTACGTCTCCTGACATTTGGGCCACCCTATGTTATAACCCTGTGTGTCCTGACTTTTGGGCCACCCTGCGTCACAATAATCCCACATGTCCTGCCTTTTGTGCCACCCTGTTTTATAATGCTGTGTGTTCTGACTTTTGGGCCATCATGTATAACACAATAACCCAATGTATCTTAACCTTTGGGCATCCTGTATAACAATAACCCTATGTCTCCTGATTTTTGGGCTACCCAGTATGATAACCCCGTGTGTCCTGACTTTTGGGTCACTCTGTGTAATAGTCATAATTATGTCCTCAATTTTGGCCCATCTTGAATAATAATCCTACGTGTCATGATTTTTTGGCCCACCCTGTAAAAAAATATCCACGTCTTAACTTTTAGACCACTCTGTCTAATTGCATTTCATGGAAAGTTAATGGCTTCATTCTGATCAGTAGGGAATTGCAATGCTATCCACACACTGTACTGGTTTCCCGTCCAGCACTGTTGATGGAAGTGGATGCACCCAGAGCTGATAGAGGCCACCCGCAGCACATTGAGGACTCAGGGAGAGGGAGCGATGCGAGCGAGCCGCACTCCACACACTCAAGGGCTCCAGTTACGTGGCCACGCTTTAAAAAAATCTCATCTCCTTCCATGTCCCCTCCTCTCGTCCTCTTCCCTCCCAACATTCTCTCTGTCCGTCATTTTCCCTGTGCACAATCCCGTTTGGTTCTTCTCCCTCCTTGCACACCTCCACTGGAACAAACGTGCTTTTTACATTAAGCAGCACTGCCCATAGATTCAACACTGCCAATAGAGGATAGACTTGCCGATAACTGGTAACAGCAGTGTCAAGATCGACCTCTGTGGAGGAGGCTCGTGAAGGACACTACTGGGCAGTTGGAGGCAGTCGCCCTCCAGCAACAACGGAGGGCAGAGGAGCGATGCTCACAACGAGCGGAGCACCGGGTGGCTAAAGCACAGAGAGTTGGCACAGTCGGGGGCACAGGTGGTGCATCGGCCAGTCATCTCAATCAGTCAACGCATGACACCTGGGTATGTGACGTGACCTCTTGCACGCGGGCGTTTGATATTTCACGTGGCCTTAGCTGGAACAAGCGCCACATAGTGACGAATTGCGGTTGTTGTTGCTACTGATGATGATGTTGATGATTAAAGTGGTGTTGCTGATGATGCTGCTGCTGATGATGACGGGATTTATGTTGATGCTTATGATGATAGTGGTGTCACACACAGTGTACACACACACAATAATGTTCACGTTCTTGTTGTTGTAGCTGAGCCTCCCTACCCAAGGGATACCTGTGCAACAGAGGAATAAATGTAAAAGGAATCTAAATCAACTTAAACTCTAATACCACTCCTCACCGTGCTCGCTCTCTCATTTTAACACTCCACGTGACGTCGCCGTCGCGAGACGCCAGGGGGTGTGTACCCTGCTAGTGACGTCATGTCACAAGTGAAATGATAATTCGTGCAAAGCCACGCCCAATCACTCAATGTCAGCGCACGATTCATTAACATAAATTATTCAACGGGAGGGCGTAAACTCGCTAGTGACGTCATATCATCTCCCCCGCCGCGCGATTCCTCGTGACGTCACGAGATCCCGGAAAGCTGCTCGCCAACCGAGATCCGAGGTAAGAAGTTCACATCGTGGTGGTGGTCGTGGTTTTTGGTGGTGGTTGTTGTTTTTGTTTATTTCGGTGCAGTCTCGCTTCTTCTGTTGTTCTCCTGGGGATCTCAATTAAGTGTAGCAGCGAGTATGGAATCGATGTCCAGGTTGGAACGTTAAAAAGTGTGGCCTAGCCATGCTGGGCTTGCCTCCTGCCATCGCCTGATTGTGTTTGCTTTGATTTTTGTTAATTTTTATTTGTTCTCACGTGGCTGACTACTTTAAAATCACATTTTTTATATTTCTATTTTGAGCTAGAAATCTATTTCAGAAGCGACCTGCCCACAACGAAGTGGCTTGTAATCGTGTGGAAATTTACAGCAGCCAAATGCTCTAAACTCAAGTTTCTAAATTTGGAGGGGAAAAGCGGAGTTCAAATCCACGCAGAAAGAGAGACACGCAAACTCCAAATAAACACGCGTCAGCGTCGGGATACAACCCACGACCTCTATACCGAGCGATGTCGTGAAAATCTCTCCACCGTGGTGCACACTCGAGTGCTTTATCACACTGAGTCTCTTTACTTCAGTTCAGGAGCGTCCTGCCGAGTTGGTTTGGCAGTCGGGGGGAGGGGCGATGCTTATTCGCGTATTCCCGATTGAGTAAACTGGAAGCATTTGTTCAGCATTGCAATATTTGGACGATACCAGTCCAGAAGTTTATTTCAGTCAGGATAAGTTTATTTCCCGAGTGAAGTCAATTGAACTACGAAGCTGATTTTCAGGGGCGACTCAGCCGGCAGACATCAAAGCATTTAATTATAATTAAGCTCACTCACTGGCCCACTCACTCATCCGTCCACTCACTCGTCTACTCATCCACCCTCCCGCCCACCCACTCTATAACTCGCTCACTCATCCACTCACTCATCCATCCACTCGCCCACACAAGCACACTAACCGGCTCACACTCTCCCACTCGCCCTCCCACTCACCCAAACTCACTGGCCCACTCACCCACTCACAATCAGAAGTGAATTCACGAGTAACACCCATTGAGCTTAGATGCTATTTTTTTAACGGCGACATGGCGGGCAGACATCAACGCATTCCAAAATTACAGATTTACAAAACAAACTTAACAGAAATTACATTCCCACTCAAACTTTAGTGATTGTTATAGTCCGGTTAAACGAGGTTATAGATGGCAGAATTGAGATGCCAAAAGACGATACGTGATTTTTCGGATTGTCCAATGGTGTAATAACAAGTCAAATAAAGAGCAAACACAGTAGAACCTCGGAAATCGACCGCACCAGAACCATTGACTGATTACCAATCGATTATATAATTACAATACCCCCCTCTGCCTCAAATCACTGCACCTGAATGAGTCAAATGATGACGTCACTCTGCTGCTCTATTTAAGACCGGGAGCCAAGTGAGGGCTTTACCATTCTGGCGAATTGCCCGATGATGCTGGATGTAATTACCAGCGAAACGTCGTACTGTAAATGGTGTGGACTGTAAATGGTGTGGATTCACTCTTCAACACACCGGTGGGCTAAAGTAGTGAACTATTTGTCTTTTTGATTTAAAGCTTTCGTGACTGCAGTAATTCATATTCTTAGTTTTTTCGGTAAAGTCACGTTGAAGAGAAACAACAAAATAACAAAATATATATAAAACAATAAAAAATTATCACGACGTTTCGACCATAACTCAAACGGTCATCATCAGGTGTGTTGGTTTGCATAAATTTATTTTTAAACGGCACATTTATTTATTTATAAAAAAAAAACGTTGGCGTCACGCGCAGCGATTGGCAGTTTGCCCAGGACTAGTCCATCTATTTTTTTGAAAAGAGGAGGGGGGAGACGACATTTTTTATAATGTATGCTGTCTGAAAGCCACTGTAAGCGTGAACAATCAATCAAGAACTGAAATGATTTATCAAATCTTTCCAATGATTGGATGTCCTAATTAAAAAGAGACCTGATGGTTCAATGAGCCACTCTGTCTACAGGAAAGCTACCCATACGGATGCTTATCTGAAACCGGATTCCCACCACCATCCATCACAGAAGAATTCTCTCATCAAGACTCTGTATCATAGAGCCCAATGCATATCCGACCAGGAACACATAAGCAGTGAACTCAAGCACGTACACCAAGCTCTTAGGGCTAATGGTTACTCCGACTATACAATCCGCAAAGCTATCACTCAAACCATGAAGAAGAACCCTCTTGAGGAGCCTTTCAAAACCATCACTTTACCCTACATTGCTGGGATCACAAAAAAGATCTCCAAAATCTTGAATAAACACAAGATCCAGGTCCGTTTCAACACATTACATAAAATCCGTGATCTGGTTCCGTCTGTAAAAGATGTGATTCCGGACATACAATACCCTGGTGTCTACAAACTAAGTTGCCTCTGTGGTAGTAGTTACATTGGAGAAACCAAACGCCATGTCTCGGACCGCATTCGTGAACATAAAGCAGACCTTAAACACGGTAGGACCAACACCTCGGCCGTAGCAGATCATTGTTCTAATTCAGTAGGCTCACATGCCATTGACTTTTCCAAGACGGAGGTTCTTTGTAAGCAATCTGGCTTCCATGAGAGATTCGTTCATGAGGCTATCCACATATACAAGCACAGAGACAATTTCAACCGAGAAGATGGATTCTATCTTAGCAATCATTGGAAAGATTTGATAAATCATTTCAGTTCTTGATTGATTGTTCACGCTTACAGTGGCTTTCAGACAGCATACATTATAAAAAATTTCGTCTCCCCCCTCCTCTTTTCAAAAAAATAGATGGACTAGTCCTGGGCAAACTGCCAATCGCTGCGCGTGACGCCAACGTTTTTTTTTAAATAAATAAATGTGCCGTTTACAAATAAATGTATGCAAACCAACACACCTGATGATGACCGTTTGAGTTATGGTCGAAACGTCGTGAGAATTTTTTATTGTTTTATATATATTTTGTTGTTTCTCTTCAACGTGACTTTACCGAAAAAACTAAGAATATTTGTCTTTTATCAACGTGACACTTTTTTGCTGATTGGCCGTGTCGGGTTGTGGAGGGTTACGACACATTTATAAATAACGCGATCTAACCCAAAAACCTTTATTATGGATATTTCCGAAATTTTTTGCCCCGGAAACCGAACGAAATTCGGAGGTCGAACGGGCAATTGTGACTTGAAAGAACCTGTACGGCTGAGACGCGTTTGGCCAGCGTGCATGACGCTTGCCCAGACAAAGGTTTTACCGTGTAAGAGGCTCAGTTAATGCGTACCTCTCACCCAGTGCAGTTACCCGCAAAACATCGTTCCTTAACTTTTTTGTTAATTTCCTTTATTTTAGTCAGAAAGAGCTCAAGTGACTCACAGTGGCAGAAAAGAGGCATAAAAGAGAAAGAACCCCAGAAGGGCAGTTACCCGACGTTTTTTGTAAGAGGACTCCCCTTCCAAACAATAACACCACCTCACCACCTTCCACTCAAGCCATCAACTCTCCTTACTACAGGTAAAGTTAATTTCAGTGTTCATTTATTTCATTTATTCCATGTATTTATTCCATTTATTTATTGTGTTTCTTTTTTTTGAAATATTTTTACACATGTAATTACTGTAAACTTCGTGAAAAATTCTTTATAATGAGAGATTTCTTGTGTCTGGAACGAATTAATGTCATTTACATTAATTCTTATGGGGAAAATTATTTAGGTGTTCGAACAAATCGGTGTTTGAACGGCCTTCTGGAACGAATTAAGTTCGATCTCTGGGTACCACTGTATACAGAAAAAATATCCTTGTGAATAAAAATATCATGTGGTTGATACAGACTTGATGTTTGTGTTAAAATATACCACAATAATGTGTGGCTAATGCAGACTTAATGCTGCCTTGCAATAGGTATCTGTTTTCAAATTGGACTATGTACTTTATTCATTTCTATTTATTTTTCGTGAATTGCTTACCTTTCATGTATTTTGCACTCCTATCGTTTTTTGTATGTGAGTTGAACTTCTTTCACACGTACGTATCCAACCATGTTTGTTTTTGTAACTTTCTGACCCGCCTCGACTGGACACCTGTGACATTCCTCCAGAAGACAGATTCTGATTTTAAAGATTCTGATCTTAACACCAGTATTATTGCCGAAAAGGTTAAAGCCTTTCCTTCTTTCATCAAAATAGTTGTATCATTATACATTTAAACCATGACACCTGTACACAATGGCCTACTCATGAAAAATAACGCGAGAAAAAAATACTTTAACATCTATATGGAAGCATATGGTGCATATTGGTGTGTATAATATGCCTGCAATATTCATAATACAATTTTAATTAACATTTGTAAAGTGCTGCATTTCATCCGTGGATCCCACCAATCCGTGCCGTGTATCAAAAGTACGAAATATACACATCCTGCAGGGTAAACAGCCAGAACTCAAGCTTCATTTATACACTAACTCAATCACTCACTCACTGGACGACCCACTCACTCCCTACTCAAGCATACAACTACTCACCCATTCTGTGACCCAATCACTCACCCACTCGCTCAGGTAAACGGCAAAACTAGGGGGGGATGAAGATCAGTTTACGGAGGTGAGTTTTAAAGATTGACTTAAGTATGTCTCTGATTGTCTTACTAATCAGAGTTGCTGCTACATTTTACCAGAGTGGTGTACCCAGAATATTGTGATTGGTGACATTTGCAATGCGTGGGCAAAACCTTCTCTGTAACTGGGAGAGGAGGCAGTTTGACCGGTAGGATCTGCAGTCAGTCGGTGTGTGTTCCCTTGTACTCAAACTGGTAGAGCTCATACTCTTTGGTTTTATTCGGTAAAGTCACGTAGATAAAATAAAACAATAAAAGAAAATATTTTTTGTTTTATTTTATCTACGTGACTTTACCGAATAAAACCAAAGAGTATGAATCCTTAAAGTCACGAAAGCTTGAAATATAGAATTGGTAGAGCTCACTTCGTGGCAAATGGCGGCTGTTGTTGCGTGCGGTAATGTAACCTATAGCGCGCTGCGCTACGAACCAGGCAACACGAGTTTGATTCCCACTCACCGCCACGAACACCAGTGACTATCTGAACCAGACTTGGGCCTCCCTAGATCGACTCAGCCTCAAATGAGTGCCTGGTGCAGTGTGTAAACATCGCCACTGGGGAAACAAAAGCGGTCGGGTGTGGTGCTGGCCATACACCCACTCACTCCTCCTGAACTTACTGTTAAGGCTATATTGGGGGTCTGTTGCGGGTAACTATGTGTGTGTGTGCATTGGAATATGCTCATGTGTGTTAATGTATTTTATTTGACTGCGAGTGTAAGTTAACACGTAACCTTGTTTTTCATTTGCATTTTTAGCTTCTGTTAGTATTACTGGTTTTGTAGAGGTGTTTTGGGAGTGTGTTAACGTGCTGGGTAGCTAACACACGGGTTTGTGTATTTTAATTTGTGTGTTTGTGTATATGTTTTTGTTGCTTTTGCTATGCCTTAAATATTCCAGGAAGTAATCACACTCTGTTAGTGGTTGGCTGGTGCACCATCTGGTGCACCATCTGGTGACAGTGTAAACCCAGAATATTGTGATTGGTGACATTTGCACGGTTTGGGCAACCCACAGTCTAAGAGCAGTTTTAGTGCCGGGCAAAATTGACTTCAAAAGGAAGGTCCTGTGGGAGGGTGGTGATTTTACACAGGTTGCAATACAGAACATTATTACAAAACATGGACTAAACGATGATCTCTGCTGGATTGGACGAAGATCTAACGTTCGACCACACTGATTTCCAGATAATGAATATTCAGCTTGCCTGACCTGCAGAGAAGATGCTTGCAAGGCCCAATTGTCCATGGCAGTTCTGCACAAATGTCATACAGTAGACCCTTGTATATCATGGGTTTTTTTCTTGCGGTTTCGACCTATCACGGGCAACCTCTTTGCATACCAATTTACATATTATTGGGTCTTTCAGTAAAGTCACGTAGATAGGTTCAAAGAAAATAGCAAAAAATACCAATTTACACTTTCCTGGGAAGACTGTTCTGGGAAGGAGGGTGGGGTGGGTGAGGAACACGAGGAAATCGGTGGCACCTCAACCTTTGCCATGCAAGCATTTAGCCTTAACAGACTGTTAGGGCAAGTAGCACCGATAAAGGTTGGCACGGCACACAAAGGGGTAGGTTAGCAGCACCATTCCCGGCCGCCTTTGTCTCCCCAGTGGCGATGTTTACACAACACACCAGGTACTTATTTGACGCTGAGTCGACCTGGGAAGGCCCAGGGCCAATTCAGATAATCGTCATGGTTTTGGGCGCGAGAGGAATTGAACTCAGGTCGCTGGGTTCATAGCGCAGCACGCTAACTGAAGCACTACCACTCTCCACTCACGCACACACATCATCATCATTGCAAGTAGAGCAGTCAGTATTTAGAATCTTATTTATTCTCTTGAAATGTTTTTTTTTCTATCGAGTTTCTGCTTGTTTATTTCAATTGTTTTGTTTTTAGTTTAGTTGGCATGCTGTACAGTACTTATTTCAGTTGTGATGCGTATTTTTGGTTGCCGTTTACCTAAACCCATTGTTTCGGTAAGGCTTAAGTATTGAATATCGCCGTTTTGGCTTTCTTGGCACATTACAAGAACGTAACCCCCGCGATATTCAAAGGTCTCCTGTATTTTCTGTTCATATACTACAGCACAGATGTATCGATTTTTTTTGTTTATCAGAAACTAGTTCTCTGCTTTCTTGATGTAATCAAGGCCTAAGTACCATTAAGAGGCTTCGGCTTTTGGTTGTTCATTGTTTTCGATATTCCTGCCCCTCTGCTCACATTCGTTAAGGATTTTTATGATTTTGGGCAGGCCCGGAAAATTCGTGACAAGGATTCGGAGCCGTTTCCTGTTCAAGTTGGCGTGTGACAGGAATTCCCTCTGGCCACAACCATTACGGTAAGTCCCCGGGTAGCGCAAGACCCTACTTACGGAAATCCAACCTTACGGAAATGCTCCCATAAATCATGTAAAAAAAATCAACATGCGGACATTTTTCCTTTAGTTACTTAAGTGCAAGTAGTCCAGCGCGGTGAGGTTGTGGATGAATAACGCTGAGCGAGGCATAAGGCAGGCGGCATCTTCCCCAAGGCTGTGGTGTATAGCCGCTCTGCACTCTCAGTCATGCTGTTACATTGTTACCGTGCGTTTCCTGTATCTGTCACATCGTCTCATAACTTTCAGTGTAATATCACCCTTAATTACATTGCAATAATGACTGGAAAAGATTAAGGTCAATGGAATTGTTTTGTAGCATTGCCTAATTATTTTTCTTTTGTAGCATTATGTAATTTTGGTTTTCTGTGCTTAGAACTATCTTGTTTTTCCATGTTTCTCTTTATAGTTTTGATTAGAAGTGTATTTAATAAGTTATTTACGTTATGTACTTTATTTAACACAATTGCACTTCGATTGCTTATGGTCTCAGCCGACAGCGATCTGAGAGGTCTCGGCCTAGTCTATGCCCGGTAAATGAATATTTGGAAGTGACTTTTCTTTTAACAATTAATATTAGAATGTCTTATGGTGTTCATTAATATTTGGATAAGTTTTTCTTCCATTAGTTTAATTATGGGTAGTGTTAGGGTAGATATTCGATGAAATGAAAGAATAATAGGAAGTGCAGAACGTATGTACAGCAATACGATACAGGTCGCGATAGAAAACGAACTATAGCGCGATACAGTACTGAGAGAAAATGAACGAGTAATTTGGTAGGGGCGGCACAACTTTCCGGCTATGGGATTTTGTCTTGATTTTGGGGGAAAATTGTTCAGTTCCCGACACGGGAAATTCGGGTTACGGATTGTTCCCGGGAACCTAACCCTTCCATGACCCGTGGACTGTCTGTACATTAAGATGGCATCTTCAATATTTACATAGTTTTGATAACCTCACATTGGCCCTACAAAAATACATTTGGTACAGTTACAATGAGAGGCTATTCGATGGCTGGTTATAGTTAAGGGATCGTTTCCTGCTGGTCAACCATGTTATGTATGCTGATCTGGCAATGGCTACTCAATGCGATGGAGTTAGGGACTCTTGTTCTGTACCTGGAGAATTTCATCATGAGGAGGCGCCTTACATATCTTCCAAAATAATAATGCACCTGCCTGGGTATTTCATGTCATCCAACATTCTGCCTGCTCGCCTCTTAGTGAGTAATCAGGCAGTTCTACAGGTGGTGGAGGAGCTCCCATACTTGGTTAATGTGTTGACAACCAGCTCTGGTTTGGCAGCTAAAGTTTCAATTCATATTAGTCGAGTGCATTCTTTAATTTGACTGCCTAACATGGTGAGGAAGCTGCCTGGACCATTGCTCCATGTAAATCACTGAATCTTCTTGCCCACAACTATGACCCCTTTCTCTGGGAATGTGAAATATGGACTCCTTTAAAGAACCATCTGTGCTGGCTTATACAATTAAGGCTGGCCTGCCTATGATTCATCCTCTATTGAGCCAGACTTGATGGTTTTCGAAGCTTACAAATCCCTGAGATATCCATACAGAATATAATCAATGAGGCTATTTGGCAGGCAAGGATGCATTCGTTGGTCATGAATCCCGCATGCTCAGAAACTGCATGCTCAAGTAGCGTAAGTAAAATTTTGATTTAAAGCTTTCGTGACTGCAGTAATTCATATTCTTAGCTCTTTCGGTAAAGTCACGTTGAAGGGAAACAATAAAATAATAAATATATATATAAAACAATAAAAACAATATTGTTTTATATATATTTTATATATATATATGTTTTATATATATTTTATTATAAAACAATAAAAACAATATTGTTTTATATATATGTTTTATATATATTTTATTATTTTATTGTTTCCCTTCAATGTGACTTTGCCGAAAGAGCTAAGAATATAGCGTAAGTTAGTTCGGATACGAGGGACTAAACAGGTATGGCATGGGCTAGAGAAGAGATTGGAAGATGTGGAGGTGATCGGACTTGCTGATGACTGGTACCAGGAGTGTGAAGATTGGCCTCTGGGGTGGAGGCCCTTGAAGGATGCTGCAGTGTAGTTGGAGGCAATCGTCCTGCAACAATGAGGTCAGAGGAGTGACACATCAATGGGTGGAGCGCTGGGTGGCTAAAATGCAGCAAGTTGGCACAGTGGGTAGCACAGGTGGTGCATCTGCCAGTCATCTCAGTCATCCCTTGACACCTGGATCATTCCCATGACCTACCGGCAAGTGCTCCACACTTACATGGCCTCACTTCGCACCTATCATGGCATGACCACTGTGATGATGTTACTACCAATTAGTGGTGAATGGTGGCTGTTTTCTTGATATAATCTGTTAATGATCCATGTGAAACATATCTGTACATAAGAGTGTATCTCTATGGGGAGCGGAGGCAGGTTTCTTCGTTCACTGCATTATGGAGCCCACATTCAGAGTTGTATTATCGCTGAGAGCAGACATGATTGACAAGTGACAGCTTAACTTATTGTAGTCCTCTGCTGGGTTGATTGTTCCTAGGTTAAGTACTTGGTGAAGAGTATAAGCATCTAGCCAGGCATGGTTCTAGCCACAACACCACCTTCTCCGCTGTTCCAATGCGTGAGAGGGTAAAGTTTTTATTTTTGCTGTAAAGTATATTGACCATATTAAACACCTAGGTTTAATCAAAGTAATAGGTTTTTTTTATTACAGGTGTAAAGAAGCTCCTTTTAGACATCCATTTTCAGAGAAGTATAGCTTTATTTCTCCGAACGTATATACAGTCCAAGTGTAACTGTTGTATATGAGCCTTTTCCAAAATTGATATTAACAACAATATTTGCCGTTATATATATATCATATATTTTTTTAACAAACGGAAAAAAATAATTAATAAAACCCGTAAGCCAGGCACACGAAAAAACAGGTGTCGGTCATAAACAGGCCATTAATAAATAAAGAAATAATAAAACTCTCGAGGCGAGGATGTTAGCAGCTATCTGCGAAGATCTCCAGATGAACAAGAGTTTGATGTGCCCTAAGGGAGGTCACGCAGAGGGAAGCCCTCCGCAAGCCAGAAATGAGGACGCCCACGGGTTAAACTATTTTTTTTTTAAAAACAACGGTTCAAATTTAAAATGCAATAACACGAATAAGCTAAAGTTAGCGGTCCTCGCGCTCACTCCAATCAAGACCAGGCCACCAGATACATCAGTGAATTATTATCCAATAATTAATTCGCTATCAAATGATTTTCACCTTTAATACTTTTACTGTTAAAACAAAGCTTGGAGACAAAATACCGAGTCACATCAAAGGTTATCGAGAAGGAATGAGGCGAACGGGCAAACTTACGAAAGAGTTTAAACAATATCCCAAGCAACCCCGACCACCTTTGTCTCTCTCACAGCGCGGAGAAGCAGGAATTACACCTTATCACAAGGGGCCATCTGGAAAAGCCAGCCGGGTTTGATGAGGAGACACACCCCACCCCACACACGGCAACCAGACAAACAAGTTTTAAAGAAATTGCAATATAACATTAATAATTACGTGTTAACCTTAAACGATATTCCATTATAGAACCTTACAGAACCAAGGGATATGGATTCCAACAATCTGGAAACGGATCTTTTCAGGATGAAAATTATTTTTCTTTTTAATAATTCCATCATAACAATTCGAACCTCGGTAAACCGAGAGGTGTCGGGAGGATGTAGTTACAAACACGAGTCGTGGCGAACATGGGACCAAATGGTATTTGAGAAATGTAAGTCGAAAGTATAAAGAGATAGGTGCTCCCGACCACCTTTGTCTCTCCCGAAGAGCGCGAGAGAGGAATTTCACGCCAGGGCAAACAGATCGTTATCGCAGGAGCCATCTGTACCCACACACACGAACTCACACACACAGACCCCGCCCCCCCCCTTTTCCACTGCGCAGAGAGAATTGTCTTTTGAATATAACGGTCAGCCGCATTTTCAAAAGTCAGTGAAGTTAAGTCAAGAGTCAAGACAGATCAGCGAGTCAAGACGTCCACAGGACGAGCAGTCGCATGGAGCGGCTGGCTCCGAGCCTCGCTGAGTAGCGAGGATCACTGAGGCGCGATGTATCAACAAAAGTGAGTCATACAGCAGTGGAGGAAACCTGCTGTCAGCGAATCAGCACGGGCGTGTTCGCGCATCTTCAAGGAGAAAGAGCGCGGCCAGCAACGCCAAGCAAGAGCGTGCAGCAGCTCAGCCAGCAGTGGAGAGAAACTGCTATCAGCGAACCAGCACGGGCGCGTTCGTGCATCTTCAAGGAGAGGGAGCGCGCGCCACCAGCGTGCCATCAGCACCAGCACCAGCGCGTGCCAGCAGCGTGCCACCAGCGTGCCACAGTGCGCAACTTCGCGTCACCAGTGCTGAGAGGGCAGCGGCCCCGCACTCAACACCCATCGGCGCGACGACGGCGAGCGTCGTGCTGACTCATCCAGCCAGCGGTGGACAGAAACTGGCAGCCGGTCGTATGCAACCCCTCCTCCACACTCTCCCCCTCACTCCCCCACCGCGCCGCAACACACAGGAAACACATTTTGGACACAAGAGATGCTAACCTCGGCGTCTGCTTTACGCAAAGAATTGAACCAGTGATAAAGAAGACACACGATACGCATATCGGGATAATCAAGAAGGGTGCCACTCCAAGGTGGTGCATTAAAAATCAATTCATAAAGGAAAATACTGCTGTCATTGAGTTGCATAATAACCAATCGTCCTGTTAACAACGTGATACGAATTGACTTGAAGGTCTATGAATGGATGTGGTACTGTGTGGGCAATGTTTAAACACGAATTTACATATTATAAGGTTAAGGTTTTGATAGAATAGTTGCATGTTTTAATCTCTCTCTCAACAACCGATTGATTGTATTACGCGTCGGGAATTAACCACAGGTGCCGCTATCGAGGTGAAACAACGCAATCGTGATGGTATCATGTTAACGCTGTGTTGAAATTCCAAGGTCGAGAGTTTTCATATTATCCAAAAATTAAAGTTAGCTAGAAAATAAAATTGATCAAAGCAGAAGGTTTGTGTGATTCTTCCTGAAATTCTGCATAATATTGTTCTGCGTATGAGATCTGAATCCTGGGGACCTATCATAAGCACACTATCACCACACAATCCATAACACACATAATTCGTAATGTTCAATCGAGAGTAATCGTATCCTTATCGATAATACGGAATTAAAGAGCAGAGTCGAATCGACTCTCTCTCATTCACGCTCACAACGCCTGCGTCACTGCATACGATTAATTGCGTCATTCCAATTCATAACACAATCCTAGTCACCGAGGCTCGACCTGATAATCCATAACGACCTGCATTATCCTAACCACGCCCACTCGCATAAATTAATACGATTATCTCTCGAATCAGCATAATTTAATGCACATAATTACACCAATTAACATAATTTCGGATAAATTATGCAAATTTCACATTTCATTTAATTTTCATTATTTTCATCAATTTTCATAAAACCTATATATACAACAAACGACTGCCACACTCGTAATTGCTATGGCTATCTTCAGGGCCCGATGGTTTCCACCACATTGATACCTGAACAGTCAACCCTGATGATTTCCACAGTCGGCCCCAATGTCGTCCACCTCTACAGTGCCTTCCGGTCACCTGTTTACAATCATCACAACGCGCACCTTCTAGAACCCCCCTACACATGGAACGTTTCATAAGCATGGAAAAGACAGCACATGAAGCTGAAATTACATCTGTCCCTCCGAGCATTCAAGCAAATCTGAGCCTGGCTTCGGACTTACAAATTGCGATTTAATATTAATTTGTCCATTTGATCATATATCTGCCCAATCCGAATATTTATATTTTTAACACCATTTGCTATTTTTAGCAGACTTTTGCAATAGTTAACATTTTTTCAATAGCCAGATACAACCGAAATTCTGTATGTAGAGTTACGGGTTATCATTGATATTAAATATACTAGGGCCTCCAGGCATTATACTGACCACTTGCCTTACTATGCCAGGCCAACAGCTGATCGTCAATAGGAGCACGTGCCATAAAACAGCCTGTGTGATAAATTTGAGGGTGATTTTTTTATTTCTCGTTAATGTGTTAGTGTTCTTGTCCATGTAATATGTGAATATCACGTGTGACTGTATACATATGCATTTCTATGCTTTTATGCTGACATACATTGCGTGGATTTTACTGTTTTCTGTCTGCAGCTGCAAGTTCCTCTGCCACTTTGCTGGACAGAATTGGTCATATGGAGCGAAAACAATCAGCGGGACAGAAACCATTCAAGTGCACGGTGTGTGGGAAGGCGTTTGCACATCCATCATATCTTCAGGTCCACCAGAGAACACACACGGGAGAGAAACCCTTCAAGTGCACTGTTTGTGGGAAGTCCTTTGCATGGTCATCAAATCTTAAAACACACCAGAGAACGCACACGGGAGAGAAACCCTTCAAGTGCACTGTGTGTGGGAAGGCATTTGCGGATTCATCAGCTCTTAAAAGACACCAGAGAAGACACACAGGAGAAAAACCCTTCAAGTGCATTGTGTGTGGGATGGCATTTGCAGAGTCATCACCTCTTAAAATACACCAGAGAATACACACAGGAGAAAAACCCTTCAAGTGTACTTTGTGTGGGAAGGCGTTTGCACATCCATCATATATTGAGGTCCACCTGAGAACACACACGGGAGAGAAACCCTTCAAGTGCACTGTGTGTGGGAAGGCGTTTGCAACGTCATCACATCTTAAAATACACCAGAGAAGTCACACAGGAGAGACACCCTTCAAGTGCACTGTTTGTGGGAAGGCCTTTGCAAAGTCATCCCATCTTAAAACACATCAGAGAATACACACAGGAGAGACGCCCTTCAAGTGCACTGTTTGTTGGAAGGCCTTTGCATGGTCATCAAAGCTTAAAACACACCAGAGAACACACATGGGAGAGAAACCCTTCAAGTGCACTGTGTGTGGGAAGGAATTTTCACTGTCAACATATTTTAAAAACCATCAGCGAACACACGTAGGAGAAAAACCCTTAAAGTGCACTGTGTATGGGGAGAACGGTTTTCGACAGTTAGGGGATCGAAACAAGCATCAAACCATTCATCAGGAAATTAATCTGAAATCGGCTTGTGAAAGTCCAAATGCTGCAATGAGTCCATCCCTCATGAAACAAGAACCAGAAAAACATTTGAGATGTGAAACGTGGACAGGAGTGAAGGCGAAATGTCAAGAAGTGAAATTTAAATTTGAATCAGTGAAGGTGAAAAGTGAAGTGACGGTAAAGTCTGAAGAAGTGATAGTGAAATGTGAGGATGAAGATTCAACTCCAAAATCCGACCTTCACGTCGATCGAGGCAGCGTTAAGTTGGAGGAGACTGTGGACTCTGAGGCAGAACGAGGCAACCCCCAGCAATTTGTGGATGTGGAGGTATGGGTGGATTTTTTAGGCAATACTGAGTTAAATGGAGACTAAGTATATGTGTATCATTGAGCTAAGAAAAACGAAGTTCCATTCCATTCACAGGCCTTTCCCATAATAGAGGTTTTTTTGGGTTAGATCGCGTAAATATATAAATGTGTCGTTAAAACCCGCCACCACCCGACACAGCCAACTAGTAAGGGTTGTCACGTAAACAGAACATGCCAATTCATCACTAGTACAGCACACCGGTGTGTTGGAGAGCCAAGCCACAACATTTACAATCTGAGTGACGTTTCGCCAGTCATTACAACTAGCTTCATCAGGCGACAGCCAGATTTGTGGCTTTTCCATTGCAAGGGTTTAACCTCCAAGTGGTCAATAGAGGCAGCCTGAAACTGGAGGAGGCTGCGGACTGAGAGAGAGTGGACTTTTTGGAGGATGCAGAGTAGGAGCGGCCAGCATGTGTGGACTTGGAGGTTGGGTAGATCTGTCAGCAGGAGTAGGAGACAAAAAGGCTCCACAGCATTCAACGTGTTATAATAATATTTATATTAATAATTGGCACTTGCATAAATGTGTTATTTCTTTCTCGCTGTACGTAGCCAATCTTGCTAATCAAAGGTGAGATGCTTCAGCAACTACAAGCGGCTTGTATCATTTAATCTCAATCGTTCGACGGCTAGCCCAAGTGGCAGCTGTCCTTTTGTGGTAGAAGGTGACTCAGTACTGACCTGCACGTGGACATGAGCCTGCCAGTTTGGTGGAGCGATGATTGATGTGTAATCCCAGTCGGGTCGTTTGTGGCTAATCTTTCTAATCTGGCAAATTTTGACCCTGACACCATGAATGTTGAACATCCACTGTTAAGCAGATTTTTGGTCAATATTGCTGCAGTAATCATGAGGGCTGCCGGACAGATGTGAACTTTGAAACTCTTTTAACAAATATCAACCGTGCTATCACTTCTCGCATTCTAAGAATGCATGCAGGTGTAGTCATCCATTCAGAGATCAGTGTACAGTAAATGCACTGTAATGTGATGCAGTTTATTTCAATTCAATTATTGAATGTTGGCGATGTGTCTCTTGGTAATTTAGAGTTATAATTTTAACACATGATCTGATTCTGAGCATACACAGCAAAAGCTCTTATCCAGCATCCATGGGGAATCAAGGGTGGTGCCAGTTAATCAAATGTGCAGGTTGTCTGAGAGGTATACTTTATGGTTCAGCAAAATTCTCAAATGTAAAAACTTTTTTACGAAGAAATTAAGCATACATTTTAACTGATATTAAAAATAATTTACTATTTTACAGAGGTACTCACCAGTCATTTGTACAGCATTTTAAGTTTACTGTAGAGAAGCAGTGGTGCTGGTTTAGATTACAGTGTACAGTAGTGCAGTACTGTATGTACAAGTACAGTGAAACAATTAGGTTAAGCAGCCCACAACACGATCACAATGGCCGATTGCAGATTGCAATTGCGACTCCATTTGTGCCACCACTCAGCAACGTCATGAAGCACGCTGCAAGATGCCAGAATTTTTCTCGATATGTGAAGTTATATTTATATTGCCGCTTGACAGATGCCGGTTAATAGAGCATTCCTCATGGTAAAGTACGTGATAGCAGAGATTTTGCTGTACGTGCCATTTGGAATAAAATGGTCATAAATGGAATGTCCTAAATAGACGAACGTTTGTTTTGACAGTAACCTGTGCAGGACATTTACGTGACTGCTGTTGTTCATGTGATACAGGATCAAAGATATTTTTTGTAGCTTAGGATCCATATCCCCCAACTCAATGTTTGTCTTCGAAATCACGAATATAGTACACACAAGGGAAACACTGAAATGTTACATAAAGGAGATATTTTCTCCACAACGCTAATTATGTTGTCTTTTCATATCTAATAAACGTGATTATTTGTCTGCCTGTCTGTCTGCTACGCCTATCTTAACTTTTAACTGACAAACTGTTGGGTTTACATTTCAACAAAGTACACATACAACAAACTAAGCCCCCGACGAAAACTCGCTATTTGTTTTTGCCCTTGGTCCAATGTAAACTAATAAAATCACAAACGCTTTCGTTCTATCGGTAAAGTCATGTAGGCATGAAATAAATAACGACGTTTCTGGCGCAACACATGCGTCCGTCATCAGTTGTGAAAGCATGGTCTGTTGCTGAGGCAGACTTTTAAAAGGTTTGAAATTGGTTTAGCCCAAGGGTCATTAAGAAGTGTGTCCGGGGCTAGTCATGTTAATGTGAGAAATTAGCATGTAACTGTCAGATAGGAGAGCCGCCTCCTCGACGAGGGCATGGAAGTGGCTATGTTAATGTGAGAGATTAGCATGTTAATGTGAAATCTAAGAGTAGTGCAATCCAAAAGCATAAGTGCAACCCAACGGGTGCAATCCAAAGGGCAGGTGAGTATGAGAGTGCAATCCAAAGGAAATGTGAGCATGAGAGTGCAATGCAAAGGACATGAGCATGAGAGATCTGAGAGAGAGACAGAGAGTCGTAAGTAACAGCTGACATAGGCAGGTAGGATGGAAACATCACAGCCAGTTAAAACTCTACCTGGTTAATAACGTCCTTCCAATGATTGCTCAGTTTGTACCCTTTTTTGGGTTGAAGTTGTGTCTGTGTTTATATATCTGGATGGCTTCATGAACAAATCTCTGAAGGTAGGTTTGCAGAGAACCTCCGTCTTGGAAAAATCTAATTCGTGTGAGCCCACAGTGTTAAAACAAAGATCGGCAAACGGCAGAGGTATTTTTCCTACCGTGTTTCAGATCTGTCTTTTGTTCACGAACGCGGTCCGAGACATGTCGTTTCGTTTCCCCACTGTAACTACTGCCGCAACCACAACTCAGTTTGTAGACACCTGGGTATTGCATGTCAGGAATCATCCTTTAGAGATGGGATTAAATCACGGATTTTGTGTACTGTGTTGAAACGAACCTGGATCTTGTGTTTGTTTAAGATTTTGGAAATCTTTTGGTAACCCCTGCTATGTATGGAAAAGTGATTGTTTTGGTTGGATCCTCAGAAGGTTGTCTCCGCATGGCTGGGGATTCAGCTTTGAGGATTGTACGATCCGAGTATCTGTTCATCCTGAGGGCTTCATGTACGTGCTCCAACTCACTGGCTATGTGGTGCTGGTCGGAGATGCAAAGGCCCTATGGTGTCGTGTTTTGATGAGGGAATTCTTCTGGGCTGGATGGTTGATGGTGGGAGTCAGGCTTTAGATAGGCATCCGTGTGGGTGGCTATCCTGTAGACCGAATGTCCCAACGAGCCATCAGGTCTCTTCTCAATCAAAACATCCAGGAATGGTAGGTTGCCATCCTTTTCCACTTCCATGGTGAATTTGATAGACGGGTATATGGAATTGATGTGGTTGAGAAATTGGTTCAGTGCTGGCAGGCCATGTGGCCAGATGACGAATGTGTCATCCACGTATCTCTTCCACAAGGAAGGACGTAGGGTGGATGTCTGCACGGCATGTTTCAAATTTCTCCATGAAAACATTCGCTACCACTGGTGATGAGGGAGAACCCATTGGGGTGCCTTCAGTTTGTAGAATGTACCATTCCAGGTGAAGTATGTGTTGGTAAGGCAGTGCCTTACCAAAGTTGGTACATCTGGTTTCCATCCTTAGTTGGACCAAGTCTTCAATGATTGCAATGGTGTCAAATACAGGTACATTGTTGAACAGAAAGACTACATCGAAACTGACAGGCAAATCATCTGGAGACAGTGAGATGTCCTTGATTAGAGAAACCAAGTGAGCTGAGTTTAGTACAGCTGAGGTGGACTTGCCCGTGAAAGGAAGCAGGGTCTCAGAAAGAAATCGGGCCAGTTTGTAATGAGTGAGTTAATGGTGGAGGCAATGGGATGGAGCGGGGTACCTACTTTGTGGATTTTTGGAAGGCCATATAATCTGGGTGGTCAGCAGCCGAAGGATTTAGAGAGCTCTGCTTGGACTGATCGATTAGAGAAGTCGATTTAGTGATGATAGTTGTTTTTTTTAGCTAGGCGGTTGGTGGGATCTCTGTTGATATTGATATAGCTGCCATCATTAAGGTCCTTAATTTTGTTGTAAGTTGTTTTATCCATGATGACAGTGGCATTGCCCTTGTCGGCTGAGAGGACGACAATGTCATCTCCGTTTTTTCATTTAGAGAGTTCGAAACGCTCGTTTTGCTGATGTTGCTAATGGGTTTCTTAGCGTTTATCAGGATAACGATTTCAGATCTAGCAAAGTCTGCCGGGATGTGTCCCAAGCCATTGAGGGCTACGTCGACCTGGGCAATTATATCATCCACTGGGATGTGTTTAGGGGTGACTGTGAAATTCAACCCATTGGCTCTTGCTGATTTTAGACTGTTGGAAATTGGATGTTACTTTGATTTATGACAATCTTGTTAACATCTAACTTTTTAACCTGTGGCTCCGGCTTCTTTTTTGACAGGAGGTTGAATTTAGCGATCAAGTTAACTTTACATTTGGTTTGACATTGAACTAGCAGAAGAAACTGTCATGTTATCTACATGGTCCCAATCAGAAGTTGACATCTTATCTGTTTATTTTAAGTGTGATTGTAAGAGAGT